AATCATACCAACACTTTTCTTGATTATAATATAAATTAAGATATGTATTATTTAATATATATAATATACTATTAATTACTGCTAGTGGGATATTAAAATAAATTAAGCATTGTTTAATCCATTGATGATTAATACTATCATATGCTTTGGATATGTCATAATATGTTTCTACCCACTTCCATTTAGCCTTTATTAATAATTGTTGGATTATAGTGTTGTATAATAATCCTTCTTTTGATGATATGTATATTTCTTACATCCAATTTGATTTAATGATAATTGTTTTTCAATTTGATTTAACATCAACTGGCTTTCTATTTTCATTTTTAATATTGATGTGTATACTTTTAACAGACAATTTAAGCAAGTTATTGTTTGTAATTCTGTGTGTCTAATTTATCTCATTTATTATATATTAATATTGTCCTTCCTTGAATAAAATGAAGAGGTATTTCGTTAGGATTGCTTAACCATTCATTAAATAATTTTAATAAATACTTCTTTGGTTGTTCTAATTATTTAATCCAAAATCATTGTATTTTGTCAACTCCCGGTGCCTTCCAGTTAGCAATGAATTTAATAGCACAGTCTAATTCATTGGGAGTGATTATTGACATACTATTATTAATTCTATTTTCAATTAATATTTCATATAAATTAATATTTAGATAAAATCTATATTAGTATTAGTTTCATAGATTCCTTTCCAGAAATTAATAGTGGAGATATTATCTGGATATTCATCTTCTTTAGATTTATTTAGATGTTGCCTTTTTCCATATTTCATCATTTTATAATTCCATCTTATTCTTTTCCAATTATTCTTTCTTGCTTCTATTTCTATTCTTTTCATCTTTCGGAGGTATTTATAATAGTTTATTTGTTCATTTGTTTTTATTTTAATATGGTATATATCATTTTTCTTAATATGTAATATTCTTTTTAATTTCATATATTGTTTATTATGAAGTAAATCTCTCAATCTACATATTTTTGATTGTAATATTCTTTCTATACTTTTCTTTCCACTTCTTTCTTGCTTATTTTTATTAATGATGTTAATAGTGGAAGCTACAGATTTAATATAATGGTAATAATCATCTAATGTATTTAATATTATTTCATTTTTATTAATAATATTAATTATTTGATGTATTTTCTTCTTATTGTAATAGTAGTTAATAAATTGTACATCTTCTTGTTCTTTCATTTCTTCTTCTTTAATTATTTTCATTACCTCCTCTTCTTCTATTTCTTCTTTCTTGTTCATTTTTGATATTATTTCTTTTAATTCTTTATCTTTCCATTGGTGTTTTATTATTTCTTCCTCCATTATTCTATTAATTTCTCTTTTAATTTCATTCTTTATTTTAAATATCTTCTTTATTATTTCTTTATATTCATTAATATCATTTATTTTAATTTCAAATTCATGTATTATTCTTTCTATTATTTCTTCTTTAAGTTGACATCTTAATTTTCTTTCAAATAATTTCAAAGCAAAACATTTATAAAGTGTTAAAATTTCTTCTTTTC